CCTACCGTTCATTAAGCAAAACCTGCCTTAGGGCTGAAACATACGCTGGCTAGAAAAGGTAACCCTGCCTTCCTCCCTGCAGAGTAGTCTTCCTGAAACCTTCAAGCACCAGTGCTGTCAGATGGGGCATGAGCCTGATGTCCTTCCTGATGTCCCTGAGGTCTCCAGGCCCCCACTGAGCAGATGACTCAACTTTCCAACATTTTAGGGTCATTTTAACCATGAGTGGACACTACCCCAGGGGGCACACAGACTGGGTTTTTCTTTGTTTGTTGGTAGTTTGAGTCAGGGTCTCACTATGTAGTTCAGGCTGGCCTCAAACTCAAGGCAATCCTCCTGCCTCAATCTCTCGAGTGCCGGAGCAGACTGTTCTTATCAAATTCACAGTCGGCATCACTGGAACATTATGTTGTCCACAGCATTTGATGGACTATTCTTATTTTTTCCCAGGTTGTAAATATTTATAGCTCTCTTACCCACATAGTTGTACAGTGTTGGCTGATATATTAATGAGTTTTAACATGCATCTGTTGTTATGGAACTTGGACAAGGACGGAAGTGAAGAAATAGAGCATATATTTTGACAGCAGAGACTTTTCACTCCCTCCATCGTGCTTTCCAAGGAAATGCATACATGGGGTCCCATCGATACAGTGCCCTCTTCCCGAGGAGGGATTCTTCCCCAGGATCAGTGAGAGGAACAGTTAATTTCTTCCCAAGCAATTAGCTTGTTTTCATCTCCATCCAGAGACGTCCTCCTGATGCAGAACCAATCCAGACACCTGCATACTGCCACACTCCATTTTTCTATCCCGTTTTTACTCATTTTCTTGCTTCTAGTTTACTTTGACATATATATATATATATATATATACACACACACACACACACACACACACACACGTCTATTGGGGCTACCTTGAATAGTCTGAGACAGGTGAAACAGAAGCTAAATGAGTGGTCAGTCATGTAAGCAAGAATTCTAAGATAGAGAAAAACAATACCCATCTGGGACTAAAATAAAAGACATTTCGGGGAAAGCTAAGATATTTTTAAAAAGAAAACTACCATCCAGGAAGTGTCCTGAGGCGGACACTCAGGAGCAGTTTGGGTGTGATCTACAGAAATTGATGGGCTGAGGACAGCGCCCCAAGATCTCAGAGGAAAAGGACAGCGTGGGAAAGCACCAGCCAGGTGGCCAGGAGCTACCACAGCCAAAGTAAGGGCAGTGAGGAAAGATGCTTTGAGAAAGGTAAGGATGGAGCGAGGAAGAGCAGTACCCTGCGCTGGGGTTGGTGGTGGAGGCTGAGACAGAGTATTTCAGGCTCTGTGGGCCACAGTGTCTGCTGCTAACAGGACTCTGCTCTTTCAGTGTAGGAGCAGCCACAGTGTGCAGAAGAACAGGTGTGACTGGGATCTGATGAAACTTTCTTGTCATTTTCACATGGCGTTAGATTTTCTTTTTGATGATTTAAAAATACTGACACCCCCTTCTACTAGGTGAGGTGGGATCCGGTAGTGGGCTCCTCTAAGGAAGACCATTCAAACCCTAATGAGAAGAAGGACACAGTAAAGGGGGTTGGAGGGCAGGAGTGGCTGGGGCACAGCTGGGTTTGCAGGGCCAGCAGAACATAAGAGGAAGTTGCACTCGAGGATAACTGAGCAACCGTAGTGAACAGGGATTCAAGGGACTGAATGGCAGGAAATAAATTATATACTCAGAAAAGGACAATAAGAAAATGATCAGTCATGGTCTGGCAGTGATTTCCAGTAAAATTCAAAAGCATATAATGGGTCAGGCATGGGTGATCATTAGGGGCAGCGGGGTTTACCAAGAACACGCCACATTAACACCAGGTCTGTATTTTTCTTATTACAAAAGCAACACATGCTATTATAGAAAAATGAGAAACGGCAAGGAAGCCAAAGAGGAAAAGAGGATTGGGAAGTCCATGGGGAACCACTGCAAACACCTTGGTGTGGACCTTTTCAGACCTGAGATATATGTATCTATTTTAAATGAGATCACATTGAACATTCTTGTTTGTCAGCTATTTTTTTCGCACCTACCAATATTCATATGTATCTTTCCAACTAAATCATCATTTTTTTTGGATAGCTGAAAAGCCAAGGCCACTGGATGGATATTTCATAATTTAACCATTTGCCTTTCTTTTGGATGTTTAAGATATAACCACCTCCACCCGTTTTAAAGTATTATTTTGAAAAGGTAACAGTGCTCATCCAGTGGAAAAATCTTTTTGCACACCTGTAAGTATTTTCTAGAAGACACCCCTAGAAGAGGAAGTATAAGGATCAAAGCTTTCCCTAGTGGCCATGTGGATTAGAGTACAAGATGGCACGACAGCGGTGCAGCTTCTCAGTCAGGATTTTAACATTGAGCCAGGGAAAGTTCCTCATTCCGATTCCATGGGCAGGAAAGAATTATCTGTTGGACTTTGCAGAACAGCAGGAAGATGTGCCCAGTGGAATGCAGTGTACCCCAAATGGCACGGATTGGCTGGAGGTGGGTGCCCCAGACACTGGAAGCATTCAAGTGGCGAATTGGAATTGTAGGAAAGTCCGGTGCAAGGGAGATGCTGGGCTGAATGCTTTTCTGCCTTCCCTAACCCTTTCGTCCACATCTGAGGGCCCAGCACAGGGCTGCATATTGTGCCCACAGGCACCTCTAGCGCCTCTGAGCAGTGGCTCTCCCTTTGCAGGCATGGCGGGGGTGAACTGTCATCGTGCAATGCCCAGGAAAAGGGGTCTGCTGACAGGAGAACCGCTAAGAGCAAATAACCCTACACACGCACTGAATATGGGCAGCTTTTCACTAGTGACACTGTTTTGAAACCTATTTGAAGGGTCTGCAAACTAAGGGAGCAGGAATCAGATACCTTTAGCATTCGCACCAAAGGCTTAGTACAGGAAGTGTGCATCGAACAAGTGCCAGGGTTGGTTCAGAAGAAGACCATTCTGTTGATTCATTTCATTATCAGCAGAACTCCGGTGGCAATCAGGGAGTGGATGTGGGGCAGGGCTGGGTCCTCGGGCACACTTTGCCTTAACTTTTTTTGGAATAAACCAATGGAAACCCTGACTTCGCAGCAGCTCACTGAGATGTGCCGCTTGGTGCCAAGTACCGTTCGTGTGGGAGTGAGAGGGTGGTCTCTGCTCCTGCCTGGCCAGAACGGTGTGCGGGCAGGCTGCCAGAAGCGGGGTAGAGGGGTCGGCAGGCTTCCCAGCTGCACCCTTGTTGCCCAGTGCTGAGCTTGCAGGCCTTATGGAGCCAGTGGGTCCTGTGGGGTTATTCCTGGCAGCATCACCACTGAACAGTCTCGGACCCTGGATGAGCAATATGGTGTCTGCAGCCACTGAGGAAGCCTGGGCTGCCTGCCACCGGGCTGGAGCCTCAGTTACTTCTGGAAGATAAAACCCCACCGACTGCCACTTCCATAAATGTAACAGGAAGTTTCTGAATGACTTCCCCTGTGTCTTGACGCTGTTACCTTGGTATTGCTAAACAAACAGCCAAAACGAACCCAGACAACACCTCATCAAAGCCACGGAGTGAGGAAGAAGCACCGGTCCACAGGCAGACAGCCACATTCCTGCCAGACTAGAGATTTCTTTAGCTGGGGTCCCTTTGCTGCAGAAACGCCACAGCTGGGAAAGCCATCAGCGACGGCAGGGACAGTGGGTGTAGTCCGACACTGTGCAGGAAAGAGATCTGCAAGCTGCAGAGGAAAAGTCATCTGTTTGATGGAGCTGTCCTTGTGTGTATTCTGACCAGGGCTGCACGGCTGGATTTCAGGACCTGTTATGCGCCACACGGCCACTAAGCATCTGGGGAAATATTCAGCTTTTCTACGAAATCGGTCATCTTTCCACACTTGTTATGCTCCCTGTCGACTCCACTGAGATAGCCACAGCACAAAGGAAATTCTCCCTGGAGATGCTTTTCTTAGACAAACACATTTCCTCTCCCGTTGGCTCCTGGAGCAGAGCCAGGGATGGGGGCTTAAGAACATCCTTGTTCCTCCCCTTCCCAGCAGGGATGTTGCCCAGAAAAGGAACAACTGGCTTTTGCTTATACTTCCAAACCTATTAGGGAGTGATCATAACGAGAGAAACTAATACTGACAAGAATTATGCCATTGTTCTATTTCATCTATTTAGTAACCTGAAGTTGCAATTTTTAGAAAAAAAGATTACCTTTTAAATAACCGATTCATTATGGTACATGAATGAACGCCATGTTCCCGTGTTCAGGATGTCACTCACCATTAAGGGCGCGCGCTGGTAAGTGGCACTGATTTGCCACTTCCCCCTTATATACAAACGCCCCTGCCTGGCGGCCCAGGATAATCAGAGGCGAGTCTGTGTGTTTCCCCAGCTCTTAGCAAGTCACCTGCGCTGCCAAGCACCTAATGAATCTCAATTCTGTAATAAGGCCGGTAAGTTTTCCCTCCCTGGGTGAAGGTGAAAGGGAAACAAGGGCTGATGAAGTTCCTGCCAATGTAACACTATCAATTTCAGGGCCAAGTTCGGAAATCACACACTCGTACTCAGGGCGTGTGAGGGGAGACCGCAGTGCGCCCTCTGGCCACAGCTTGGCCATGAGGAATGAGAGGTGAGGACAGACTCAGATCCGGGAGGGCGAGCTGGCCCCGCTGAGCTTGGTGCTGCTCCGGTCCCCTGGGGAGACCTGCCCTGGGTCTGGCAGGTGAGCGATGTGGGGAGTATTCTCTGGAAACCTCCCTTCAAGCCTGTGAAACCCACACCTTGTTTTTCATCATTAGTTTTCAGACATGCTGAGTATTTGGCCTTTCCCTAAGTCCTGTGGGGACACAAAGGAAAGGGAAGGCCTGGTTCCTGCAGAGATGCGACCAGGCCCTTGCAGGGAGAAAGGGAGGCAAGACAGCCGGGTGACAGCACGGAGGAGGTGGCACCCAGCACAGAGCCAGCAGCTGGCCCACAGCAGGGGCCCCGCATACCTGATATGGCATACAAATTGGAGTGCTGGTACTCGTAGTCCGTCCGGGTGCTGTTCCTGCCTCGGAAGGTGGCAGGCAGTGTCAGAGAGATGTGCCTGGGAAAGAGACAGAGCAGAGAAAGGCGGTTACAGGGGTGAGGGCATCTCCCAGGCTCAAAAAACACCTGGCTCCATCAAAAGCCAAACTGCAGCATGGAGCAGAGAGCAGTGCTCCTGGCCAACTTCCACCTTCACTTTTCCACCAGCCTCAGGTCCTCCTAGGAATCCAGAAGCTAGCAGCCACCGTGTTCCCTACTGGAGAGGAATCCAAGGAGAGAAAAGGTCGCCCTGGCCTCCTAACATGTCCAAGTGTGGACCCAGAACCCACCCGCTCAGCAACACGCAGTGATGGGACTGAACTCCAGGCTCCAAGCTCGAGCCTTGATTTGCTCCATCAGCCATCTCGTGGCTCCTGCACCGGAAGCACTTGGGAAATGGAGGCGCTGGGTAGTATTAGCAGGACAGCCAAGTCACTAACGACCTCTGTAAATCACGATGGCACAGACACGGCTGCGTCTGTGTGACCCCTCTGGGCAGAGCGTGCAATAGGTGCTCAGGAAAGCACCTTCGATGAGTCTCAGTGTTGTTTTTTATGATTTGGAAGTTGGCCATGAAAAACATGTTGTGGGCATACAGTATGAGTATTTAGTCCACCGTAAAGAATCCACTCAGTGTGGTCATCAGCTGCCTTTCATGAATGGGGAAAAATAGCTACCATAAGAGGAAAAATACTCAAAACCCAAACTCTGGAGGGGTGACTGGTGGGTACTTGGAAGCAGCCCAGGGGCTATGCTTTGGCCACCCCCTCGCCACTTCCAGAAGGGAAGAGACTGGAGGGGCAGTTATGACACAAGGAGAGCTTAAAGTAACATGGTACCATTTTTCACACGACAAATGTGTGACCTTCAAGGATGCCTGTGGGTCTAAGGACTCCAGGGAGGAAAGGGCTGAGGCAGGGCTGCGTCCACAGGGCCAGGATTGAGCAGAAGCCTCACAGGGACAAGGCGAGCACGAAGGGTTGCATCTGTGGGGCACAACTGTACCACGGAATGTGGGCTGCACTGAGCGGAGGCTCTGGTGATGCCAACCACGTGCCCAGGCTGCAGACAACGAGCGGACCCTGCACGTGGATAGACACTGCCCCCAGGCACTCGGGCAGAGAGGAAGGTGCACCGCCTGGGTGTCACTGATGCTGCCTACGAAGATGGCGGTGGCTCCCCAGGAGCTCTCAGGCTGTGGGACAAGTTGCTCTGCTATGAGACAGGTGCTGGGAGAAAAGGGAAACCTGGGTGCCAGTGAGCACGGAAGGAAGGGACAGCATGTTCCGTGGGGGGGAAAGGGATTCCTGACACCTCAGATGAGGAAGGGGTGGCAGAAACCCACCAGGTAGTCAGGACACTCAAGGCTGAGATACGGATTGAGGGCCTCTGACTCGGTCACTTTTAAAAAGCCCCACCTCTGAACACAGGAGGCTTAGGGGACACTGTAGTCCTAAACCGTCCTGGCAGACACGCAGGCTCTAGAGGATCACTGACGACAACACAGACACGCGGGCTGGCCCTGGGAAGGCCGGTCCAGGGGCCTGTGAGGGAGCATCCAGATTTCCACACCTCGCAAGCTGCAAGGCAGCCCTAAAAATGGCTGGGCGGGACCCTGAGAGGGTCCAAACCGCTACAGGGGCTTTGAGCTGTAGATCAATGCCTCTGACCGCAAACAGAGCTGAGCAAACAGAGGAATGGATTATGGCCTGTGGTTCTGGCCGAGCAGAACGGAATGATGACGGGCAACCCTGCAGGGAGCGAGGCCAGGCAGCAGTCCCCGGGGTACGGGGATGGCATGCAGCCTCCGTGGCTCCTTCCTTGTGGTGGCCGGGTGGGGGCAGCTGCTTGGTGCGCAGGACCTGGTGCAAAGCGAGAACACTGGGCATCTGCTCAGTTGCCGATGGATTCCAAGACGCCACTGGCAGAGTGAACCCCATGCAGGGCCCACGTGAGTGACAGCAGCTCACTTCTTGATGCTGGCCCATGGCGGGAACTGCCATGGTCCCCACCACACCAGTGGTGGCAAGAGGGCTGGGAAAAACTGCTCCAGAGCTGCCAGATTCTAAGATTTCTAAGTCTTAAAAGCCGTAAAAAAGGTGTCTCTCTCTGCTCTACCCATGGGCCCAAGGCCACCCATGTGCTGTGTGGCCTTCACAGAACTTGGGAAGATGAGGGGATGAGAGGCAGGAAACAGGGCCGGCCCAGCCACACGGTCAGACACACACAGACACAGATCGGCAGGAACGCAAGAGGACATGAAGGCATCCAGGCAGGGAGTCACACCAAGATCACTTCCAAGTGTGAGCTCCTGCTCCAAATTTCTTGCTCCTCCTGGCCTGGGGGTGAGCTTGGCTGACCACACCCTGCAACTTCTCTGCTTGGCCTGTTCCCTTCCTTCCTTCTCCCCTCTTTTAAATGCTGCTGTCTGCAGAGTCCTAGTGTGGCTCCCTGCTCACACCATGCACTTTCTCCAGGCAGCCCAGTTCACACCCGCTTTCATGATGGAGCCGGCCATACGTACCCCTCTTCCTCAGACTCTGCCTCTTGTTACTGCTGACTCGAAAGTTGTGGGAATCTCTGAAGAGGCCTCATTTTTCCATGTCTCTGCCTGACTCTCTATCAATATGCTATTCCCTCATCCTAAAATCGCTATGCTTCCTCATCTTCTTTCTAAACTCCTATTCGTCCTTCAAGACCCCAGCTCATCACTTACTCTTTGGTAATGGAATGGGTGCCCGTGTGTCCCTTCTCATGACCGTAACCTGCTCAACATCTGGGCCAAATCTCAGTAATCTTATTCTCTATTTCCTACGACAGTTTCTGCCATAGACAATGACTGAATGAATGTTGACCAAATCAAGTGTTGAATTTCACGCACTAAAATCCCAGGGTCTTTTTGTAGCACAAGCGGCTGCAAGGCCTCTCTGTGTTGTATCTGCCCAAGTGGACTCAAGGATTTCTGTGTTATATAAGTCTCAGCTATGGAGGGAAACAGATGTGGTGGACGAAGAAATCAATGGCAATCAGTGGGGGCAACCAGAGATTCACAAGGGGGCAAAAAAAAAAAAAGAAAGAAAAGAGCCTCTGTCTGTATACATGGACAACACGTGGCTCACAGGGCCATGCGAAGCTGAGAGACAATTCAAGCAGCAGGCCTGACGATCCCCTGCACAGAGCAGCTGCCCAATAGGAACGGCTGAATGGAAATCGATCACCAAAGCCCCAGCTCCAGGACAGGACAGGCTCCAGAGCAGGGGGGCCTGGCAGCGGAGAACCCCGAGACAGTTTCAGAGGAGAACGTTTCCTCCCCACTCTGCAAATAGCTTTTTCCTCTCGTCCTCTCCCCGGACAGAGGAGGCGAGGATGTGGGGACACCCAGGGAGGCACTGGTGTTGGGTCAGCCCGGAAGGGACGGCAGAGGACAGCAGGGCTCTGGGATCGGCTGGGTTCAGGGCGCCAGGACATCCTCATGTCCCGTGGGCCCACCTGGCAGGGACTGGGCTGGCTTCTACGCACACATCGCCTGCCTCAATCCTCTCGACAGTCTTTCTAGGTAGGAACAAAGATGCTCACCTAGCACAGCAAGAAACCGAGTCTCTCAGAGGCAATGCTGACAAGAAAGCTGGGAATTCAAGGAAAGGCCGCTCCACATCCTCGGGCGGTTATTGTCATTATTATGACTGCAAAGTTACCCGTGTTGCCCTGCCCCTCGGGTATGGAGAGGGAGGTCACCGCCACCGGGGCTGCAGGGCCCATCCTGAAGACCACTTGGAGCTGACAATGTCAGGGAATCAGAGCAACTGCAGTGGTTCAAACTCCGGCACAACACCTCGGAGTGGATGGCCTTTGGCAGGGCTGTGTCACCTCCTGGTGCGCCCCTAGCCACACTGCAGGCAGAGCAGGAAGCGCAGAACCGGGCGTGTGTGATCAGGACTGCACTAGCTCAACTGCTGTCTGGACTCTTCCCATTCCCACCAACCAGCATCATTCTGGAGTCCAGCTTGTGAGGGTATGAGGGTAGGGTTGTTATAACACCCCCTGGGGACTTCCTTCTGCGTTTGAACAAGATCAAACTATCCCAGGTGGGGATTTAGCTCAGTGGTTCTGCCACCTGCCTCGCAAGCACAAGGTCCTGAGTTCAAGGCCTGGTTTAAAAGAAAAGAAATCAAACTATCCCATGGACTGGGCAATTTGCCAGTTCATCCTCTCCCTCCTCCCTCTCTTCTGAAGGCATCTTGTCCAAACTCCTTGCCCTCACATCTGCCAACCTCAGCTGAGGCTTTTTGTCCCTTTATTCCCTTGGCTCTCATTCCTGCCTCAGGGCCTTTGCACTTACTGTTCCCTTTGCCTGAAACACTCTCTGCTAGCCCTCCAGAAGTTTGCTCCTCTTTTGGGTCCCTTAGAGACACTTTCTCTGATGCCCCCTTGCAGGAGATACCCCACCTCCAGCCACTCTCTCGTGACACCCACCTTGCCCTATGCGCAGCCCTTTCCTCTCTACATGGCTGTCTGATTTGTTTCTGTGTCACCAGAACATGACCTCCCTATATCCCAGTGCATGGCAGAGCTGGTATTCACAAGCGTTGGGGACAATCCTGTAAGATTACCTATTGCTTGCTGAATGAAGGAGTGAATCTGGTTCTAACTATAACTAGAGATAATTTGGGGAATCTTCCAGGGAGCCTTCCTACTCGTCTCCTCCTCATCCCCAGGAATGGGCTGGTTAATGGTTTGGAAATTGCAACTATTTCTGAATCATGGACATTTTTACATAAATAGTAAGTACATTCTTTGTGGCATTGCTTATAAATCCCAAAAAACAAAATCAAAGGAGATAGTAAACAATAGGAGACTGGTTAAGGAATTATGGTATAACTGTACTGAAATATTTTATAGTTTCTTAAAATATTTTAGGAGATTACTTAATGCCCTGGGCACACACCCACGGCATCTAGTGAGAAAGATATAAAATGGACTTGTGATCCATCACCGTGTGCTCTGGCTGAATCGTCCCGT